TTTTTTTTTTATTTTTAAATTTACAACAAAATTTTTTTTAATTTTCGAAAATCATAAACAATTATATCGGTTACGAGGATTTTTTAATTTTTTTATTTTTTATCTTTTTGTAAAGAAAAAACTAATTTTTTTTTTCTTAATAGTCTTATGAATGTGGACTTGGCGCGATTTTTTTACAGTGAAACTTTTTTTGTTCGGATTTTAGTATTTTTTTTAATTATAATAAAAATTTACAATTGATACCAACTTAAATCTCGCGTTGGGTGCATTTTTTTTATAGCAAACTATTCCCTTGAGGCTACAGTTTATGTAAAAATAATTCTAGCGCACCCTGGCGGGTGTAGATGCAAGTTGTGAAATATCTTTTTTTAACTGTAGTGTCCCATCTTATGAAGGATTACTATGCATTCTCGAATATTTTAGTCTGTGGCAGATCACTTTGCCCATCGAAAAAAAGTCAGGATCGAAATTTTTGCGTTGCTATAGTTTGTGCTGATTAAATTTATTAATTTCAAGTAGATTAATTGTTATAAGTGAATATAATTAATTAATAACAGTAAAATAAAGTATGAATTACTGTTATAATATACAATTTAGGAAAAAAAAGTACCGTAGAATTAAATAAAATTTTGCAACCTCAAAATACCGTTCTGCTTACAGTAAACACAGTCGGTAGTCTGGCACTCCGTTGAAAACGGATTTGAACGGAACTTGGCGCCAGATTCTACCGAATCTGTGGATTATAATGAACTTGGATTAATTTTTTTCAGATAATCCGTTTTTGAAAAATCCATGGAAGAGGATTTTTTCAGGTTCAGACTCTTCGGCAACGCTTGTATCTTTAAATTTATTCATTATTTCTTAGCAACAATTTATGGAAATATTGTATAATGCGTACTAAATAAAATCAATTAGAAAACGATTTTGATATTCCTTTATTTTCTCAATCAATAAAGTTCCAGAAAAAATTTCTCTTTTTTTCAGCTGTCACAGTTGACTTTCCCCTTATTATTATTTTTAGAAATACTAAGAACTCAAATTGCGTGCGTACGCGCGCGCTCTAATCTCGAACCAATAAGAAATCATGGGCCACTTTTTCCGGGTTGCAGTCAACTAGTCAGACTGACAACATTCCGAATTAATAAATTACTAGAACTTAGAAAGTAAATACTTTTTTAAATTTTAGAAAGTAAATGCTTTTTTAAATTTTAAAAGCAAATAATGAAAACATACCTTTAAATACCATATCCATAATCTTCATGTTTTTAACGAGCTCATAACTCAGCTTTCCTTCGTTTCCTTCAATGGCTACTTTGATTTCTTCCCTCAACCTATCCTGATAATCATGATGCTGCGCTAATTCATAAAGCGCGTTGCTCATCGTCGTCGAAGAAGTCTCGAACCCAGCCAAAAAAAACACAAACAACTGAGACGTAAGCAGGGTGTCAGTAAGTTTGATATCCACTTTTTCGGGATTATCTTGTAGCTCCATTATCAAATCAATAAAATCATGTTTTACGATCTTGTTGGCCTTCCTGTAAGCAATAGTTTCCTTCATAATACTCGTAAAGAATTTAGTAACCTTGCTATCATGCATAATAGGTGCCAGCAGCTTGTACAGCCAAGGAGCGCCCTCTCGGATCCTAAATCTGATGAGCTTCTTCCAGTCAATGTGAAAAACGTACTTTCCCATTTTGCGGAATTCGCTCTCTTCATCCGCCATTGCATTCAGTTGCAGTCCAAATGCGCACGTCCCTATAACGTCTGTCGTAAATCGTGCAGTCAAATCTCTAACCTCGATTATTCCTTCCGCATGTTTTTCAGCCACCATTTTGTCGACATAGACCTTGAACTTGTCCCCGCATTCTTCCAATAGATAGAACATTTCCTTCAGTTTTCCTGAAGTGAAAGCAGGGGATAGTTTGTGTCTCAGTGGCCGCCATTTCGTGTGCTCTAGATTCACCAAGTGCTGCGATAGTGGCTCCGCGTGCTCGAAAGTCTTGAGTCCCCTATCGGGAAACTTTGAAAAGTCTCTGATGAATATATCTTTAAGGATGTCCAAGTCTTTTATTATCAACAATGGCTGGCGACGAATAAACACTCCTATAAATTTTTCCGACGGGTATTGATCGTAAAAGTCGTCAAGCCAGCGACCGAATGATTTTTTACCCAGAAGTACATCTTTGAAGTTACCCACCAGTGGTAATGGATTCGGGCCGCTTACATTGCGTTCGCGCCAGTAACCGTACGTTGATATAGACCAGTAGTAAATAATAACAATAATTATTAATATTGCACTAATTGTTTCGGCGATCATAATTGTCAATTAATTTTCAAGTTTTACCTTCACATCATTAAAATATTTCAAAAAATTAAAAATTTTTTAAAATCTTTTTTGATAATTTAATAATTTTTTGAGGTTAGGTTGTCATGTTTACAAATTTAACTAACAATTATACTTATGACGCAGTAGTATATAATTAGATGAACGGTTGACAACTGATCAGATTACGCTTTATATTGCGTCATGACTCTATTTATTAATTAATTGTCTGTTAATTCTTCTAGTTATTTATAAAAGTTTCGATGTTGTCAGTATGAAAAAATGTAAGAGTTCACTATTTTAAGTGCGAGCAATTTAAAATACGAAATATTATTGATTATGATTTACTTTGTATGTTTTAGTAATAAAGTTTTAATGTGACGAGTCACTGGAACGTGTAACTGATAGACGCGATTCAGAGTGACTGTGAATTCATGAAGCATTGTATGACTCGTGTCTACATTGTCGATGTAGTGGTAAGCGGCTCGAGTGAGTACTGTATATAATGATGATAATAATCGTAGTTACGCGATAACACGATTAAGTATTAATGACTGACTGTATTTATTGTCGGTTTTTATTGAAGCAAGTACACGGTGACAAGATGACACTCCATATTTTCTTTAATGTCATGGAAAATTTAAGAGGAAATGTTGATTATTAAGATTCAAGAAAATTTACAAAGCTATAAAATTTTTAATGGATAATTCAAAAAACGATTAGGCTGCCGTTAATGTATGATGATTTTAAGTAGATAAAGAATATAATTGACTAAATAAAATTTTTTTAATTAAACTTTATTATACTTTAAAAATTTTTTGAGTTTCAAATATCAAAGTTTGTTTTTCCGTAAATATTTTATTCGAATGTTATGATTTCTAAAGATCAAAGATTATTTTAGGTGATTCTTGCCAAAGTTGTATAGAAAAATCCCATTATTATTATGCTCTGTTTTATTCAAAATCTTTGTCTATAATCGTGTATTAAACTTAAAAATCACTAGCTCAGCTTCCACTATATAACTTTAAAAGAGAATGATTTTTGTAGACGGACTCAATATTTCAACAAAAATTTTATTAAATACTTCGTTTTTAACAATTCAGGTATATTTATATTTATTTAATAAAATATTCAGACAGTTTTTCGTACTGCATAAGAATTTTAATTACTTGAAATTTCATAATGTAATTCTTCGGAAAAATGCACTAAAACAAATACATTTTTTGAGTTTAAGTGTTAGATATGTTATTTTGAAAGTATCCTTCTGGGAGATGACGGACAAAAAGGTGGATTAAAATTATAATTATACTTATCAATACTAGTTAAGAAAATAATTAAATAAAATAATGTCATTAAAATAATAACAAACAATAAGCTATGAATTATACATTGTATGCACTTAAATAACTTTATCGTAAATCAGGTAATGAAATTATTATATATACAATGCATCAAATTGATAATGTAAATCAAATTAATAAACATTGAATTTTGTGAGAAAATGTATGATATAAGTTGAAAAAAATCCTTATTCGCTTTTTATTCTCTACAATTTTGATGAAAGTACTTTCAGCACTCATTTTGGCGCATTTGGAATTAAAGGCGGTTGATCGCAGGAGCACCAACCATTATTGAAACGGTTGTTGTAGAGCATTCTAAGAGCTCCACCTCCAAGTACACTTCCAGTTGATTTAAACAGTATGGAATATAATCCAGTTGCACCCAGTGATTGACATAACGCAAAAGTTGTTCCAGCCTTTAATTACAATCAATTTATCAAATTAAAGCAATCTTTATCTGGCTGGAGAGACGGCAATCTATAATGAATGCAAATTTTACTGTTTGATAATAACATGAAATTAAATTTTAATTTCTCTTACTATTTTGCTAAAATAATTCATTTGAACAGAAAAGTGCTCCTTAAGGTAGTTCCAGCATGAAATCACTTTTCGACAGATTCGGCTGAAATTTTTTTTACGGGTTCAGAATAGCTTTATTTATAAATTCCTGAAATTTCATAATTTTTGACCGTTTAGATCGCGAGATATTTAAAGTCAAAGTTGGCGATTTTGAGGGTCATGTTCCATCTAAAGCATGTAAAATGTCCGGTCTCTCCAACTATTTTTTATGATATTAAAAAATTCTCTCGACAGAATTGGAAAAAAAATTAGGAGAGTGTTGAAAAATATTTTTAGAATAAGTTAAAAAAATAAAAATAGCATTTCACCGTTTTGTTATCGAGATATAATAATTTTAAAAAATAAATTTCAATCCATTTCTAACTTGCTCACTTAACCACTTATAGTGATTTGGCAACGCCGTGCGCAACGCTTCCTGAAAAAGTGTAGCATAAAAAGCGGGAAATTCAAATCTTTCACGGTTTTCAAGAGCAACGTTGCCAGATCACTAGATTAACAATATGTAATTGTATGTGTGAACGTGTGAACGTCTGTGTGCCGAGGCTTTTAAATTTTTGTCCATAGTAAATGGTCTGACTATACTATACCACGCTGGAACTACGTTAATACTCAATTATTTGAGTTACTGGCTTGGTTCAAATTAGTCAAGCCATTCAAAAGTTATGAGAGGTTTTACGCACACATACACTGCTGATGTCATCATGGGAATAGTCAGAATAGTTTTCTAGGACCTCAAAACGTGATTTTTTTATCGGAAAGTTTAAAAAAAATAAGAAAAAACACATTATTGCACCTTTTTATCGGTAATTTTGATTGATCTAAATTTGTTCGTAAGTCTTATGACCGTAGTTATTTCGTTGTTCTGTCACGGTGACATTTTAAAGAGGAGATTCCTTATCGGGGAATTTCTTGCTCGGGGAAATTGATGCATGTAACCCTTCGTATAACATTGTTTTATTTAGTATTTACTTACCTTTATAGCTGGGCTTTGCAACCACGCGGCGATAGATCCTTTGGTGACACCCGCCGATCCAAATCCGATAAGTGGCAGTGCGTAAGCTCCTAACAAACCGCCTCCACTAACAAGTATACCTCCACCAAGTCCTAATCTAATGCGGAAAGTTTTGAGATTTTTTTCGTTTATTAACGGTTTTTGACAATTGTCACACATCTGATAATACATCCAATCAAACATTTTGGTATTTAGTTTCTTGCTGAGTGAAATTATCAAATTATCAATATAAAAATCAGAAAACAACTAATCACGGTGCTGTCAAAATTTTCATAAATCGGCAATAAAGAAGTGCGAGAAATAGAGAATGAAGAATAATGAAAAAATGAAATTCGAAGATTTTTCTCCCACAAAGTTTTGTACAATGTTATCTGAGTATAGATATTACATATGGTATATAGAGAATGTGTAAACTACGGAAGTAGTGACACGTTAAGTAGCCATGGTAGTACCTCTGATTTGGCTGCGTCTGCTGACATACATAGTGGTAGTTTTCCAATTACGAGAGCACAGTGCGACTCATTGCCGCACGGTGCCGCATTAGCACAAGTTTAATTGAAACAGATTAGTTAAGAAATGCAGCAGTAGATCGCGTTGGTATTGCTTCGTTTTGAACAAAAATTCGAAAGTTTGGCAATCTAAAAATCTAAATATTTGTTTACCTGTATATTTAAATCTTTAAAATCTTTGAAAACATTCATGTTAAACAGCTAATTCAAAATCATATCATGACAATGCTTACAAATATAAAAATCTAAAAAATGATTTCATTTTATAAAGATAAAAGAATAGAAAGAATATAAATTCGCTTAAGTTAGTCATCAATAATTAAATATTAGATATAAAAATATGATAGTTAAATATAATTTGTGTTATTGTATATATTTAATTTTATTGCAATAATAATTATTTATCAACAATAATAAAATACACTTACAATTGTCAAAAATAATAACTTTGATAGATAATGAGCGTGTTCAGCCGAACTAAGTCCTGAGTAAACTTAGTAAGATATGTATAGTATAATGTAGGATTATATATAATTATATAAAATTATGTATAATTTTAAAAATTTATGTATGATGTTCTTCGTAATTTTTGTATAATTATAAACAATTATGTATAATTATATCAAATCATATTAAATTATGATATTATAGATAATGATTTTTTTTATATTTTTCGTATGATTAAATGAAAATCATACTAAATCTTCAAAGTTGAAAAAAGTGATGACAAAGATTACTTTTTTATAAACAATGATTTTATTTTTAACTAGCATTTACCCGCTGCTTCGCTCGCGTTGAAGTCCTTCGATAAATTTCAAAGATCATTACATTCCAATAGAACTGAATCAATGTGATTCAAATTTTTTGACAAAAAATTTTTTTTTCTTTCGTTAAAAAATAAATTTTTTTCTTTAATAACAAGTATACTATGTTACTTCTAATACTTCCAAGAATGTGTGTACAAAGTTTCATGATGATCAGTTAAGTAGTTTTTTGCTGTGAAAGCGTAATAAAGAAACTTATAGATAGTAATTTTTTTTTTATATTTTTCGTATGATTAAATGAAAATCATACTAAATCTTCAAAGTTGAAAAAAGTGATGACAAAGATTACTTTTTTATAAACAATGATTTTATTTTTAACTAGCATTTACCCGCTGCTTCGCTCGCGTTGAAGTCCTTCGATAAATTTCAAAGATCATTACATTCCAATAGAACTGAATCAATGTGATTCAAATTTTTTGACAAAAAATTTTTTTTTCTTTCGTAAAAAATAAATTTTTTTTCTTTAATAACAAGTATACTATGTTACTTCTAATACTTCCAAGAATGTGTGTACAAAGTTTCATGATGATCAGTTAAGTAGTTTTTTGCGTGAAAGCGTAATAAAGAAACTTACATTCAAATTTATAATATTAGTAGGGATTTAAATCCAATTTTATAATAAAATTATCAAATTCTCTTTGAATTATCTGGTCTCTTACATACAAAATCTCTAAATCTCCTACTCTTAATAACTGAAAAACACTTTGTATTTCTCTCAATTCTATTAACAAATAATTTTCAGATTCTGTAACTGGTATTTATTTATTTCCTTTATTTAGACCCAACAGCTTACAGCCATTAACAGGGTCACTAATTACAATATTTAGTACAAGATGACAATTATAATAAATTCATATATTAATTTTACTAAAATTATAGTTGTAATTATAATACCAAGACTTATTCTAACAGTACCAAATCATAGCTTAGTCATACGATTTGTCTAGAGGTGCATACACATTACTGAAGAACTGAGCAAACGAGTTAACAACTACCTGGGGGTCAGAGCAATTACTGTTTTGTATATAAAAGTTTGTGGGGTACTGATTTTGTTTCTTACAGGTTTTAATAAAACTCCAAAAACTTTTAGGATACTATATTAATTTATTTTCTGACTCCCTCTGGTAGCTATTAAACGCCTCTCTGATTCTTCGTTTTAATGAGCTTTTAAACCCGTTATATTGCTCTAAATAATAAAAAGTCGGACTTTTCTTCAATTTAAGTCTGTAATTTTCCCACCACCTGACCTTCTGAAAGCTTGACGTCTGTCACATCTAACAAAAAAATAGATTAGTATTAAATAATTCCGAGTTGTAAATACTATCATGCAGCCAAGTTTCAGTAAATACGTATATATCAAAATCTCTATTGGCTGTGTTATATAATACAGTTTTAAGTTTGGATTTAATTCCTCGGGAATTTTGATAGTAGATACTATGCTGCAAATATGATGTATTTAAGATCGATTATCGATCTCTATCTCCGGAATTGAGCGATGAGCTGGAATCCTGACAATGGAAGTCGACCCATTCCTGGTCACTATCCTCAGATTCGGTTCTCCGTTCTGTTTGTGACGTTCAAACTCTGTCCAGGTCTCCTTCTGCTGCCTCCGCTGCATTATGGTCCTGTCTTTGGCTATTGCCACGTTCAGCAGCTCCGAGGGAATCTGTTTGGACCTCTTCACCCTGGCCAATCTCTGCATCATTAATTCAGTGAATGTAGCATTATCACATGAGAGCTTAATTGGTCTCGGTTTTGCCAGAGCAGGTGAGTATTTACCAATTCTGAATTGTGATGCAGATGTAGTATCCACCTCAAGAGCCGAGCATATTTTCCTTACTTGTGCAAGGTCATGGTCTTCCCTGCCTTGCTTACTGGAGTCGGCGGATTCAGGTACACCAAACAATATTACATTATTGCGCCTCATAAATCTTTCTTCAACCTCCTCAAGGATCGCTGAATCATTTCCTCCACCAGACGTTGCCATTTGGTTCTTGATCTTTACAATAGTGTCAGCATTACTCTTAACCTGCGTTTCAAGTGACGGAACATTTGTTACAAGTACTTTATTAACATCCTCAACTGCCTCAATTCTATTATTAAGTAATTCGTTATTTCTGTTGAATTTTTCAGCGAGGGATTCAACACCATTGACCACCAGTTTCAATTGATCACTAATATCTTGTTTGATTTCAGTTGTCAGACCCGCAATTTCCTCTCTGATTAACGAACGAAAGTCCGACAATGAGAATGTATTTTTTGCGCCACAACACCTTTGGTAACCACCGTCTGGTAGAACCTTAGTTTGTTTTATACATCCAGGATGATATAATGCAATACACTTTGGACACTTAATACTGTCGGTGACAATGTTATTGCCACAATACTTGTACTCACGTGACATAATGTTTTCTGTTTACAATACACTTGTTTACAAACAGCAGCTAGTGTAGGGTTATAGTCTTACTAACTAGATGTCACCTCCGCAAGGGAGTCTTACTATCGATAAACGACCAAAACCAATCGATACTAAAATTCTCCTACAGATGTCACACTGTCACAAGTCAAAGCACGTTTTATATGACAAAAACGCAATACTTAACAATTGATTTTACTCAATTTAATATTCATGACACATATGTGATTTACATCTCAGATCACTTGCCAAATTTTTTACATCAAAATAGACACATTTTGCGAATTTATACTGACTGATGTTCACTATTAGAATAAGATTACTGGAGAGCACTCCAAGACGATCACTTTACACGGTCGCCATCTTGAATATTCCATAATATGTTTTACTACTGCTTACATATTTAAATTACTGATCATTTTATTATGTTCAACTTTCAATTCTTCAATTAAAAAATACAATTGATTTTCTATAGAAAATAAATAATATAAAAATTTACAATAGCCAAAATAAACAATCTATTAAAAATGTACTGTTTTTATTAAGTTTTATAGGATTTTAAGAAATTTCATAGATTTTATGTGTAAATCTGATCTTCCTTGGGTTTGAATTTAAATAAATTCAATACATTTTGACGTGTACAGTATGTGATTCAGACCAGTGAGCAGCGTGCAGGACTGATAACCAGGAGGAGTCGAGTTCGAACCCAGCGAACGCCCAGAATTTTTCATCAATTAAAATAGTTTCTGATTACTACATCATACTCTGAATCGCATTGGTTTCTGATTACTACATCATGCTCTGAATCGCATTGGTTTCAATATAATTAAAAAAAAAAAAACAATTTTTTTATCCATTTTTGAAAAAAAAAATTAGGAATACGGTTGACCCTGAAGGCCATCCCTGCAACTTCCCGCCAATTCTATACCTAAACGCTTGAGATTGCACTTATGACGTTTTAGAGCTCTTCGAGCTCATAAATACAATTTGTGTATTATTTTGAGCTCTCCGAGCTCAACAAAATAGCTTTTGTATGTTTTTGAGCTCTTCGAGCTCAACAGTTTGATAAAACACTATTTTTTTTTATTTTCAAATCGCAATAACTTTTGAATGAATGAACCGATTTTCACGCGGTTGGTGGCATTCGACGCAGTTTCTTAAGCTTCATAAAAAATCTTTGAGTTTATATTGACAGAGTGGAAAAATTCGGAGTAATTCCGAAAAAAACGCTTTTTTCGGTTTTCTTTCGTCAACGATAAATCACGAACGAATTAACCGATTTTGACCGGACTGGCGGCGATCGAGGTGGTTTTTTGATGTTAAGAGCTGATTAGTTTTTGAAATTGATCGGTAAAGCCGTTTAAAAGTTATTCCAAAAAAACTACTTTTTAAAAAATTTTTTTTTTGTAGTTTTTTTGCGATTTCTCAAAATCTACTGGTCTAAATCGTTCCAAAGTATATAAAAAAATCTAAGTTTGGTCAAGCACTTTCGAATGGCGCCAACCGCGATCAAATCGGTCAAGCCGTTTAAAAGTTATGAGAGGTTTACATACATCCACACACACAAACACACACATACATACATACAGACATACAGACACCACCGCGGGGGTAGTCAGGGAAGCTTCCTATGACCTTAAAACGTCGAGATCTGATGAAAACTCGATTTTTGCAAAACGGGGTGAAAACGGGAGCCAGAAACGTCCTCTTGTGGAACATGGAACGAAAAACGATATAAGTAAAATTGAGAAAGAAAGGCGAGGAAATTTACCGTAAAATAGCTATTAGAGTGAATTGAATGTAGAATTTAATATCTTTCGAGACGATCATCCATTAATGACATTAAATGTCCGAAAATTAGATCACGATTGAAATTTAAATTAAATGATTATCAATTATTTCTACTTTATTGAAAATAATACAATACCTGTCTCATTGGACATTCGTCATTAGAACGTAAAGCAGATTCAGGAGTGCGAGAACTCATCGCCTTTATCAAATTATCTACTCTTTCCATAAATTTGATAGTGGGTCCACTATCTTTCAGTTCGGTGCAATCGTTTTGCCAAGTCATCATAGCAACTCTTAATGGTTTAGAGAATAACTAAAAGAAAAAAAAATTGCAATTTCTGTTGAAATTAAATTTTGATTTTTTCAGTGAGGTAGTCGTTCTTCGGAAAGAGTAATGTCGGAAAATTCTAAACTTTTGTATACTTAATAAGGATATTGAAATGCACTAACCCTTAAAATTTAAAATTGATTAACCATCCCAAATGCGAGATTATTGCAATTGAAAGAATGAGCAAACCTCATGTTCTTGTTTTCACGCTAAATAGACGGTCTGATTGATTTAAAAAACTAAAATTTTATGAATTTATATATTCAAATCAGAAGAAAAAAAAATAGGCTTTTCCGGCCTCTTAGTTTTCTTCCGAAATTATTATTAAGTTAGTATAGTGAACGTAAATGGAATACCAAATTCGCTAAAATGAAAAAAGCAGAACTACCAATGAATGAATAAAGAGACCAATGGTGGAATCTGTATTTTACAGAACAACTGTTTCAACTAATATTAATTTTTCATGAAAATAAAAGAATCAGATAAAAAGTTAAAGATTAAAGATTAAAGTTTACTTACTTCTTCCGCTAAACGAACATTCATTTTTTGATATCCTTCAGGGTGTATATGTTCAGGTGTTAATTTGTACGAAACTTTCAAGTTAGGTTTATATTGAAGCTCGTGTTGCAATAAAACTTCCCAATGGATTTTTTTCACAATCCCATCAGGGATCTAAAAATGTATTAAGCTATTAAATTACCGTAATGAGAACAATGTTCATACCAAACATGCTATTTTTTCTTACTAAATATTACGCATCGTCAATTTACATACTATTTACAAAATTATAAACATATATATTTGACTTCGTTCCCCTAACGAAGGTCCCTCAAGAATTTTGGTTCGGAAACACTTCAGCAAATGAGGAAAGTCTGACATAAACCATAGTTGTCTAGATGTATCATAAGGATGCGTACAACTGAATTTTTTATCTTCGATACCAAAAATTTTCTAAGCTCCGCGGTTCCACTGAGCACCATCCGAGGTGACAACATCTACTTGCATTCCAGCTTTCTCTAACTGGATGATGCAGTCTATGATTAATTTATGCAGAACGTCTTTCGTCACTGCACTTTTGCTTAAAAAATATCCCAACACTTGGACCCATGTACCACGGAAGGGTTGATACATAAAAACTAGTGCATGATCAGCTCTCTCGTTTATTAAGTTTTGTGGCGTGTAATTGCCTAAATTGACGAAGCCATTAAACTCCATAGTTTTAGTATTTAATTTTACAGCTTCGCTTAAAGCGATTTCGTCAATTAATAAGGTATCTGCGAAAACACAAAGATGAAAGTTAGGGTAATAAAATGCTTGGAGTACTTGTATTAAAAAATTGTAAGCAAAAGTAATTTATTTCTAATTAAGCTATGTTAATAATGCATAATCTACGTATTAATAAGCATGTTAACAGAAATGATAGCAAAAATGATATTAAGCCTATGTAAATTATTCGAAATTTAGTACTACGCTATTTCTTTGTAAATGTAAAGATGACACAATGTGTATCATTGTTGTGTATGTCATAATTGTATTACTTTTACAAATGCTTTTTGAAAAATAATAGAAATAAAAAGTGGATAATTTATAACGCTAATAAAGCCCAACAGCTCATATTCACGTATAGTTTAACGTAATTTTTCGAAGAAGCAATTGTTATATTGTCTTTGCATTGATTTGTTAGTAACCAACTGTAGAAAAATTGTTAGTATCGCAAAGTTTACCACGTGTCACGTAAAATAAATTATACCCCTTTTGTCATAACTTTCCATTCGCGATGCTTTCAAACGGAGAGTGTCAAATATAGCTTTCGGAAAACCAAAAGCGCTATCTAATTTGTTTATGTATCTGTTTAGTGTGTCCTTACAGGGTAATGGTAATATCTGACGTTCGCGCAATTTATCATAAACCACAGGACCTTTAATTCTAATCATTAGACACTCATATACCCACTCAATAGTATAACGTCGTTGTTTCGAATTTTTGACTTTAGCAGCTTGAAAACAAGCACGAACTGCTTGTTTTTGGGCTTCTGGAAGATCCGCGATTTCTTCTTCAATAACACTATCTTTGATTACAGCACACTGGTGTTTTAATTGTTCCACCTTTTCCTTCAATTGATGATTCTGTAGAACAACAAATAGTATAACAGCAATTACATTATAAAACCAATATTACCTTTTTCTTCAGACGATGTAAATTTTTTTGTTTTACATGCAGTTTACGTTTAATCGTTATGTAACGTTTCGTTATATCGTTGTTTTTTCGTTTTGACGACATTAACAATCTTTTTCGTAAGGATCGACAACTGAAACATCGATTCATTTTCATAAATCTTTTATACTTTTCGGGTGATTGTAAAATACCATCACATCTGGTTGAACACCTACAAAAATAGAGAAAATTCGTAATTACTTTTATTCATTACTTCACAAGGAAATGAAGATAATAAAAACCTTCCGTTGGTCACTCCAGGACCACTGCAAAACTGCGATTTTTCAATTTCTTGGAGCATATTAAAAAAATGTATTACTGATGTTAATGAATAATTGTAATTAACAGTCACCCCTGTTTCCATAACAGTTATCTAAATAATAAATGATAAAAATTGAAAAATAAAATTTATATTTCCGGCCGATAATATACTAAAGTCTATATACTAAGTACCTGAATAATTAGATTATTACTAATTTTAACTTCTAATTTTAGTTTTTTCAAAAAACTATCTATGTAATATAGAATTAAAAGTTTTTGTGGTTCTGATTGTTTTGACCAACACCAATTTTGTGGTAAACCTTGATCTTTCAGTGCTTGCAATATTGTAGATAACGAAAACGTTCCAGGATTGTCATCAAAAGCTGCAGGACGATAATTTTCTTCGTATAATATTTGCCATTCCAACTCAAGATCTCCAGTATGACTTGTTGTATCTTCAATTATTTCATTTACGATACTTGAACTATACATTTGTTGGCGACAATCGGAAAAATTGTCACTTATGTTGCTGTTATCTTCCATATGTTTTCCGGCAGAACAGCCAGTATCAAGTTCTTCGTTTATAACCACTTCCTCCGAAACTATTTGCATAGGTAAAGGATTTGTATTTGAAGAATCTAATACACGTGCATCATGGTGGTCTACGAGCATATTTGCCTGTACAGGAATTGCACCTGCCTTTAAGTGAAATCTTTCTTTTGGTAAATCAAAAACCTCACCATTTGGCAAGTTTATTCTGTCAAATGTTCTAATGATATCATCATCTTTAAAATGCAATTCACAGACAAAGTTTTTATGAAGAAGATGTTGTGACAATGCCAAATTCCACTTTTTTAATGCTTCGGGACACTAATTTAAGAAAAAAAAATTATATTTCCAACGATTATTCAGATATTAGTACGCATCTATTACGCTGAATCAAAAAAATGTGCAATTTCTCTTTTTTTTTTTTTTGTATACTTTAAAGTTTGAAGTGCTAGCAAAAACAGGGGAAAAATGCTAGCACGGGTAAATGCCAATAGCCACACTCGTAGAAATTTGTTTGAAAAAAAAAATTAAATAAATAAATAACTATGATGTCTTTAAGGAAATCCTTTCGCTCCAGTTGAGTCAAAACAATTGTAGTAGTCAATATACGATAAATTAAAAAAAGAAACCCATAAAAATTCCTAAAATTAAATAATAAATAGTATATGAGGCATTAATCGTTGAAATTTTGAAAATAAAAAAAAAAAAAAATAGTTAAATACAAAAATTAATTTGACTCTTTCAAAACAGCTGCAAGTAATCTGTCCGTGATTTGGCAACGCTGTACTTCGATTGTTTACATTTTCATTTGCACAATATAACCTTAACCACGTTTAAGGAGGTCCTTTCGCCGCCAATGTAAAATAAAAAATATTAGATTATGAGTAAATTAAATTTTTTTCTAATAGTTGAAGTCCTTATTTATCTAATAGTGAGGTTTAAATTATACTTTAATACCGGACAAATTTTTGAAAAAATAAAATTTTTAAATATTAGTATTTGTTCAGAGTCTTACGAGAAAGTCAAACGTTTGCAGTATTTCTCGAATTATACTATCACCCATGGATTAGATGAAGTAAAAAAAAAAAAAACTAAAAATTAGATTTTCAAAATATTCAGGTTAATTTACTCATAATCTAATATTTTTTATTTTACATTGGCGGCGAAAGGACCTCCTTAATCAATTATAATTTTTGAACATTATATATATTATTTACCCTCAACTTTCATTTTATTAATTATTGATTATAATAATTCCCATAATTTCTGATTTTATAAACTAGTGATTACAAAATAAAACTCGACTCTTTATTGAAAAATCACAGAATATAAATTAATTTACTCTTATCATTACTTAATTTAAATTATGTATTATCAACTTATAATAAAATGGATTGAACTTATTGGTTATATTACCTTGGGTACTTGAAATAAAGTCGTTTGACGACGATTTAATTCAACGTTTCGTTTTCTTTCAGCAGTTGAGCCACTTAAGCAATTTTTAACTGAACACTTTTTGACCATTTTCTTAAATTATTTTATCAATTGTTTTCACACTTTAACGGCACTGTCCAAGCAAACTTAATTTTACATTTGTTTATGTTTACATACTTCATAAAATCTTAACGGCTTTTTGTGACGTCACGGAGATTGTAGTGATAGTTGCGCTACTCTGGTGGTGAAAATAGGTACATGTTATTTGCTGCTGTTTTTGAGGACACATTTTATACCAAACGACCTATGCCGAATGCCGTTCGAGCTCCTTCTATCTAAGCTCCGTGACACGAGTGATGATGTCGTATAATCCGGACAAAACATAACCAAGAATCACTTCTCTAGGTGGAAAGTAGTTGTGAATCCATATTTAGAAATAAATTATTATTCATTTGTTTTTTACTTGACACGATGGAAATTCAAAATTTGAAAACCCCGTTCGGTGAATTTCTTTCTGGAAAATATGAAAAGTTAGTTGTTTTCATTATTTAATTGAGTTTTTAATGTTAAGATTATTATTATTCATTAAATATAGAGTTATGATAGTTAGTGATAATAATTGACTGTTTTATTTCAGGAGCTTCGCTTATAAAACGATAAAGGATCGCTTGCCTGTCATCATCACAAGTATTATTGATAATATAAGCCAATGCAAAGATTCAATAATTACAAAATATGGTTCGGTAAGATCAGTGAAATTTATTAGTTCAACCGGCTTGTAAATAATATGATTTTAATGTCTTTTTTTATCTTACTGTCGCCGTTGCCAACTCGCACATGCACAATAATTTTAGAGAAGGACATCAAACCCACGTCCATGTCTCACACATTGAAACTCCCAACGTCGACCTGTACAATTTAAAAGTCAAAAAAAAATAGTTGCAAAAAAAAAATTTGTTAACATTAATTATTATCAAAGTGGAGTACAATAAAATTGTATTTTACACGATAATAATTGTAACAGATTTTTTCCTAAATTTAGTGGAACTTTTTTCCTGATAATAGAAGACAAAAACTGTAATTGAAAACAAAATTTTTTAATTTATCGGTTTTTCGCAGAGTAAGAACTACTTGTTCATAACGCTCACACTGAACTGCCAAATATTACAATAAAAAATGCATATCCCGTAAACTATTGGCTATTTTAAAGGATTCACAAATTAAAAGTCCAATTTTAATCCTTTTGTTTAATCAAAGTGAATTTTGTTCGTTAATCTCTTCTCTAAATTTTATCTGCAGCGTATCAAATATATTTCATTAGCTTACGACATATTTTAACGTAAATTTAGTTGCAATATTATTATTTTCTAAACAAATTAAAATCAAGCCTTACTTCATGTTCATGGTCGAAGAATTGTTTTAGAATTAGGAAGAATAAAAAAAGTTAAAATCATTAATAGACTAAAACTTTCCAACTACGATCATTGTATTTGCAGATCAACTGGACTATTAAGTTTCAATATCACCCAATTTTCACTTACCTGAGTAATGAAATATCAATTTTTAACGTTACAGAATTGTTCTGAAGAGCTAAAACAAGTAATAGGGCAATTGAGTGAACTAAAAAGTGAAATGATGACAAATAAACCATTAAAATTTATCAGTTCATCTGAAAATGGGAAAAAAGATATCTCAAAATGGAATGAGTGTATTAAAAATCAACAATTTAAAAACGAAAATTTGTCAACATGGTATAATTCTGTATGGTTATTCAGTGAATGTTATATGTATCGTCGAGTAGCTCATATTTTTTTATCAACGTGAGTAAAAATAAAAATCAACTTTAGTAAGTAACTCTGAGACTTACTATAAGATGTACTTGATAAATAATTAAAAATTTTCAATCATGTCTATAATCACGATAGAACTACGTTATTGACTTACGATTATTTTGAAAAACAAAAGCACGATAATTTTACTACATCTCTAGAAACAATTTCTGTGTTGGCGAATTACACTATGAACGTGTTAAATGAATCAGAAAGTAATTTAATTGATAATCAAAAAAATTGTTTTACAAATCTCCTGAAATCAACTCTTTGGGGAAATAAGTATGTTTCATTATTAAATAATTAAATTATAAGCTCAAATTTTTTAATTAAAAAAAAAAAAAATCTTAAATTTCAGATGTGACTTGTCTCTGAGCCAAGGTAGTGCAGTTAAAATAGAAGACATGATAGATGAAACAAAAACGTTAGATAAAAATATTTTAATTGATCATAGTGATTTAATTTGGACTCGTCTTAATCATTTTCGTGCTGATAAAAAAGGCACTACCATAGACATCGTTCTGGACAATGCAGGATATGAATTATTCACTGATTTTTGTATCGCTGCATTCTTAATCGAAAATAATTTCGCTAAAAAAATTAGGTTTTATGTGAAAAGTATTCCCTGGTTTGTCAGTGATGTAACTGAACGGGATTTATTTTGGACAATTGACACTATGAAAAATTCAAATCATAAAAATTTAATGAAATTGGGTCATCGTTGTTCAAAGTATCTAGAAGATAATAAATGGACTGTTGAAGTATGTATGAAATTAGATATTACGATATTTTGAGTCAGGTCGATCGAAATAATTTGCGTTTTAAAATATTTCCAGCCTTTTTGACAACTCACAACAATTACAACTTGAGTGAAAGTAATATTTTTTATCTGAAAATTTTTATACTTCATTAATTATATATAACACTCTTAGAAATGCTTCACCTGCATATTAAAATAATCTATAATGTATTTATTAATATAATTTTTCCGTTTTGATAGTTATGAATTGTACTCCCGGGAAAAAATGAATTTGCCTAATCATAATATGGTTATATATAATCTCACTTATATATAATTAGACCTGAAAATTGGCCAGATCTAATCATATATAATTAGATATAATTATATATAATTATTTCTATAAAAATAAAAAATACTCACCGCGAGCGGGGATCGGACCGGGGACCTGACGCTTCAAAGACTAACACACTACCTGTTTACCTATTAACTTACTGGAAGAGTAAAGCTTGAAATACCTAAAACTAATGCAAATCGAATACATAATCGATTTTTATAAGTTAAATTAATTAATACAGTTCCATTATTTAATCCACAAAAAACTATAGTTTAAAAGATTATTAGTCATTTGAGTAGCAGACTCTGAGATGAAAACAGAGAATGTTTTATAGTAATCACAAAATTCATATATAATTATATATGATTCATATATAATCATACATGATTTATATATAGTTATAAATGATTCATATATAATTATTTAATTATACATGATTTCCGTATAGTTACACTGATATTGATAGAAGGATTTGTTTATATTTATTGAGCTTTATTAACTGTTAATAAATACGATTTATTAAATGTTAATAAATATTTGTTAACAGTTAACAAATATTTTTTTAAAATCAAAAGCAAAAATAGCAATTTTTTTTTGACATTTTTTATAACCCGACAGCTGGAATACATAACTGTAACACATGATAATAATTCAAATCACTAAATACATTAACGTTTTTAATATTGAAAAATTTAAAAGATAATTATGAGCTGTGATAGAATTCGGTATGTTATAATAAACGTTATTATCATGTAATATAATTAATGAAAATAATTTATAAAGATGATTTTTGTTTATAAGCAATCTTCATATCATATGACATTGCAAGTGGAACAAATTAACTCAACAAAATATTTATTAAATATAATCATTAAAAAATGCTGCATCTAATTATATATTATTATATATTAATGAATGTAAATTTATAATTTACATTTGATTAGATATAATTATGTACATAGCTTTACGTTTAATTATATACATGATCCTATATAAATTTGATCTGATCAGATATAATCATATATAGATTTATATATAATCATATATAGCCCTAGATAACTCAGGTCTAATCAGATCTAATTATATATAGATTTATATATAATCATATATAGCCCTAGATAACTCAGGTCTAATCAGATCTAATTATATATAGATTATATATAATTATATATAGACCTAGATAACTCAAATCTGATTATATATAGACTTATATAAAATATACATACAATATATTAGTCTATATATGATTATATATATTTTATATAAAAATTTAGATATAATCATACATAATTATATATAATTCTATATATTCAATATATAATCATATATAAATATATATGATTATTAGGCAAATTCATTTTTTCCCGGGCTATTTTAAGAAAAAAATTAAGCTGAATTAAAAAGAGCACCAAAAGTGTTTATATTTGAATAATTATAATAATTCAATTGCACAAATCGAACTGTAAAAAAGCATCGGAAATGTATAAATCTCGTAAAATTATTAATTATTTTTGTCCAAAATGTGTTGTAAGAACAAATTTTGTGAGTTAAAAATCAAAAATTTACTTTTTTTTTGTAAGTTATTTTCTCTCCATAATTATGGCCAGTAGTTTTGTTATGAGTTTTTCTAACCTTGTGCCATTTTTAGTTTTTTATGACATAAATAACTATCGATAAAAATAAGAATGAGTATTTTTGAAGGAAAAAAAACTTTTTTTTTTTCTTCAAAAACTCATAAAGACCTGATCTCGTTGATTTAAAAAATGTCCGAATCTTTATTTTCAATAAACTTGATTAATTTTTACATTTCATAGCCAAACTTATAGCAAGATGATTTTCTATAAGGATTTTCGATTTCCTTGAAAAGTTCATGTTTTTAAAGCGAATGATAGATGTGTTTATGAATTTTTTCGAACTTTTTTTAATCATCCTTTTTAAAAATTTATGATTGTATTTTTAAAAATAACTTAAACTTAACTCTACTAATTTATTAAAAATTTTCAATAAATTCTTATCTCTTTGTAAACTCACTGTACTAACATTAAAATTTTACTATCATAATTTTTTATTTCAAATAATGACTGTTATAAAATAAACACTCTATTGTTATAAAATATGGGATCTCGATAAATGATGAGAATTATATGACTTCAAGATTATTCTTATCATTGATTAATTTTTTTGCGTAAAATATTTTTATATTTTTCATAAAAAAACAATTTTTATTTATTATGATAATCAGGTATTAAAGCAATCTCTATAATTAGATATTAATTTTTTATAGATTGAATCTTTTTGGACAGAACCATATGATTTTTCACAAATGAAAGTGGAATCACTACCGCTGTATAATAAGCTATCTGAAGCTATTTTAATTATATTTAAAGGAGATTTAAATTATCGAAAACTAATGGGAGATATCAACTGGGACTATGAAACTGATTTGAAAACAGCACTCCGAGGATTTCAGCCGACTAATATAGTAACATTAAGAACAGTAAAAGCTGATTTGATTGTCGGCGTGCCTCATAAAAAAGTTAATGAACTATTTAGTAAACAAGAAAATTGGATGGAAACCGGCCAATACGGTCTCATTCATTCCTACTTCGTTGATCATAATTTATAAAAAAAACAACTTTACTTTAAAAATAATATTTTCTGTAAAATACAGAGTGGGAATGTAAATATTGTATGAGCGTCTTATGTTATTGATTTATTTAATGATATTAATGATTAAAAATAAAACATGATCTTGATCTATGTAAAATCATATTTATTTCTTTAAGTTTAATATAGTTTAATAAGATAATCACTAAGAAATATGACATTAAGTAACTAGTATCTGTAAATACGTAATATTTTTGCAATCTATGAATATTTGTACAGTTATTTATTCTATATTAAATAATACAACAATATTTTTCAATTTTCGATAGAACCATCTAACAATTGTAAGATGATTCATTTTAAACATTATACACTGATAAAAATAAATTAATTTGATCAAAGATAGAAATTCTTAAACCAAGAACATAATTTTAAAGAATTCGATCATTTTCAATCATATAAAAACATTTTTTAATCGAGTAGGATTTACTCGAATCGAGAATACTTTTTCAGACCAAGATTTTATTCACTTGATCCAAGTTCATCTAACTCTAAAATTATGTCCTTTCGTCAAGAATTTTTTCCTTAAATTAAGTTAATTTTTTCATCAGTGTATATATGATAAAACATATATTTGAAATAATTTAATCATATAATACATTTTAAAACAATGTTTTTTTTTATATATCTCTAACGAACTAATCATAACTTAATTTATAAAGAAATAGCTTTTATGTAAAATAAAGATACATTAGAAAAAAATAACATCAATTATAATTTGTGCTATTAACTACAATAATATAATTAATCTGTGTTAATGGATAACAATTTCGAATCATTGCTAAAATAATATACTACATTAATTTACAATTAAATCATATAAATTGAAATTAGTATTGGAATGAATTTTGGACACGGAAAAAATACCATTACATTGGTCACTATTTCCTATAGTATATATCAATAGCGATTTTAGAATAAAAAAGTTCGATGTGCTTGGACAATAATGAACGCTTTTTAAAAATTTTGTAAAGTATTCACTACTGTCGAAGTATATCCAACCTTGTTATTTTTATCGCACACTACTTACTTCTGTGCGAAACAGTATAGTAAGCCACTATGTTCTTTTTATCTGGGTGAAGATGATCATTAGGGAATAAAAATAATAATAATAATAATAATAATAAGTGAGTTTAACAATATCGTAAACATATATGTAAACACACATATATGTTTTTTTCTTTTTCAATCGATATCTTACAATAAATAGACTTAAAATTTCCTCAACATTACTTTGTAGCTCAAAAAAGAAAAAATTCCATATGAAATGTTTCACCATCATCTTTTTTGCTTAATTTCTTGCCAGCAAGTGTTGGGAAGATGAATCATTGTGGAAGAATTATTCCATTAAAAGTAGTACAATTATAATAGCTTTAACCACTTAATCGTGATTTATGCCACGTTTAGAGTAGAATCCTGTTAACATATGAATAAAAATTAATCATTTTATCAATTTACTCTTCTTTGTCATTCTAAAATAATTGTTTAAAATATTTCTCTGCAATGTTGATAAATTACAATTATATTGAGAAATTAATGAACAAATAATCCTTTGAGATTAGAAAATTAAATATATTATAGAGAAATTAATTAAGCAAAAAGAAAAAAAATACTACAATTCATTTGCAAATACGGTATTTAATTTTTTTATTACAAGCCTGAAAATTAATTTTTTTTAATTAGTTTTTCAAATTTTCAAAACTACAATAAGCATGTATGAGGTTTTATAATCTTTAATATTCTGAGAGGTTGAGTATTAGATTTCACTAGTTGATGTGAAAAATTTAAGATTGTCTCTTTACTAACGATAATGAAAAAATATTCCGGTGAATCTGTCAATCACTAGATGATTTTCAAAAATAGTTAAATCAAGTACAAGTTTTTTTGTTTTACTAAAAGATAACTTAATTGGAATTTTTAACTGATAACTTATCTAAAAAAAGTATTTTTATTGAAAAAATATTTCCGATAAAAGAGAAGCTTTTAAATCGTAAAAAATTAAATTTTTCATGTAAACAACGTTGAAATATTTATTTTTTACTGATAACAGGATTTTCTATTGTTAAAAAAAACTTTTGCTGCAATTGATTGAAAATTGATACATTCGAAGTTGTGTGTGTTTCCGGTAATGATGCATTTGATTTTGAAAAGAGTTTGTACTCAATTTCAAGATAGAATAATACCGTATTTATTCCAAAAATTATAAATATCGTTTTATTATAATGAATGAACAAGGTTTGCAAAGAATCTTTGAAAAACTAAATATTTTTTAATTGTTGGCATTAAAACTTGGTTTTAATGTCTAAAGTCCGTTGAAACAGGACGATTGTATCAAATTAACACACATAAGTATTAAATATTTAGCATAAAACTTTGAACGCAAATTTTTTTTAACGCAATGACTAAAAATTTTTTACTGTGTACAAGTAATTAAAAATTTACTATTTTCTATTCATGTGAATTCCGTTATAAATCGATAATAAAACATCCATTAAATGTATTAATTTTTATTTTTTATAACAAGTAAGTTTCATTTTTATTATAATAAAAATTAAGCTACAAAAAATATAATTAATAAATTGTGCTATACTCGTAGGATTTCTGGATCAATTATTTTATAATTGACAACAGCCAAGTTTACTATTTTTTTAAATAAGTTTAATGTAATCTTATGTTAATATATAATACATATTTTTTCTCTATCTTAGTGAATTTGATATGTCACAAATATTAAAATGCCGATATTATTTCATAAATTTAAATTATTTTGTAAAATCATTAATACTTTGATGATAAGATGTTAAACAAAGTTCGATAAATAAAATCAATACTACAACATAAAATTTGATTAAGATGTAAATTCATACCTCATATTTATTATTTATAGTATAATGTTACTTTGTAAATGCAGCAAATACTGCCCATAAAACTTGATTTGCATTGGGTTTATTGGCTTCTGCTTCAAAATCAAGTTCTAATAATGTTCTAACACGACGCATAGCTACTTCATAATCATCATCTGATAGAGGTGCAAATGCATTTTCTAATACATCTGCAGCGTGCGCTAGGAAAACAAGTGCGAGAATTCTTCTATCCATACGACTGGCATCATTCACCCAACGACATAAAACAGCTTCTTGTATCTAAAACATGTGTTGTAAATAATTTCATACTTAATAATAAATAAAAAAGAGAAAAAAAAAATAACAGTAAAATGACTTTATAAATTTTTAACACATAAGTATTATGAAGCAAAATTTTTAACTTCCCGCTAAAAAAATTAAAAATTTTCAAAAATTGGGAAGTTATTGGTTTTACCCCGTTTTTCGAAAATCAAGTTTTCAATGGATGTTAACGTTTTGAGGTCCAAAGAAGCTACCTCGAATGTATCAGCGATGATGTCCGTATGCCTGTGTGTGTGTGTGTGTGTGTGTGTGTGTGTGTGTGTGTGTGTGTGTGTGTGTGTGTGTGTGTGTGTGTGTGTGTGTGTGTGTGTGTGTGTGTGTTAAACTTTTAAACGGCTTTAGCGACCAGTTCCAAAAACTAATCAGCTCTTAACATCAAAAAGCCACATCGATTGCCACCAAGCCGGTCAAAATCAGTTGATTCGTTCGTGAGTTATCGTTAACGAAAAAAATGTTTTTTTTAGAATTTCTATGTAATTTTCAGTCTGACCAGTTCAAGCTCTAAGATTCTTTAAAGAGCCCAAAAAGCTGCGTTAAATGGAGTAAACCGCGAGAAAATCGGTTTATTCATTTAAAAGTTATTGCGGTTTGAAAATTCAAAAAACAGTGTTTTATTAAACTTTTATCAGACTTTTGAGCTTGAAGAGCTCAGCTATCTCTTTGAGCTCGGAGAGTTCATAATGACACGAAAATTATATTTTTGAGCTCGAAGAGCTTAAAACCGTAATGAGTGTAATTTTGAGCGCTTAAAGTAAGGAATTAGCGGGAAGTTGCAGGGATGGCCTTTAGGGTCAACCGTTTGCCTAATTTTTTTAAGTTCTCTTATTAATAAGAGCCCATGAACGTAGGAAAATTTTCACTACATGAAACAATGAAAATATTTTCCAAAAATGCTTTTGTGTATGCATGTGTATGTTTTATTTTTCGTTGTGGTATATCTTTCCTGAACGAATCAACTTCATGTGATACAGTTCACAGTTTTAGAAGGGTGTTCTGAGACTTAATTAGATTTTAGAGTCTTTTTTTTCATCTAATTTCAATATAGTTTAGCCGATCAATATAGAAACACATATATAATCTTTTTTACTAAAGAAACGACACAAAATAATCCCGCAAACTGCATCAAAATCGAATAACTCATTAAATGATACCGCAATTCAAAAATGATTTTCTTAGGTTTAACTCAGATTCTTAGGCCAGAACAGATACAAAAATTAATTAATAAATATATCTCCGAGCAATTTACACTCGAAAGTAATGAGGAGTTTTCGGGATAGCTTGAGACTCAAACATTTTTCAATAAGCCTGAAGAGGGTAAAAATGTATAAAATGAACTAATTTTTGTACCCATGTTGAAGAAATAAATTTTAAAAAAGGCGGAAAAATTTCCAATTGCCGTAATAACTCAACTGTTATAATGGATTCAAATTAATCAGTGTATTATTTTCTTAACTGTTACGTCATCAAGAAAACAATTGTTTTTTACCCATAAACGCTGATGATTTTTTACCATCTTTTAATTACCAATTGAAATAATTGAAATTCGACATGAAGAATTATTATAGGCGTTTAAAGTGAGGACTTTCGGATTTTTCTAATTTTTTTTAGTTTATTGCTATAATTGGTACTTTACAATTTATCTATATCTCAGCAACCGAAATTAAGGGGTTAAATAAAAGGCAATTTCTAATAATAAGCTATCAGAATTTTCAATATCAATTGAAATTAAAAAAAAAAAAATTAGAAAAACGGTTCATCCTAAAGGCCATCCCTGCAACTTCCCGCTCATTTTGTACTTAAACGCTTCAAACTACACATTACGTTTTTGAGCTCTTCGAGCTGTGCGTGTGTGTGTGTGTGTGTGTGTGTGTGTGTGTGTGTGTGTGTGTGTGTGTGTGTGTGTGTGTGTGTGTGTGTGTGTGTGTGTGTGTGTGTGAAAGTATGTGAACCGCTTATAACTTTTGAACGGCTTGACCGATTTTGTCGCGGTTGGTGCCATTTGAAAGGGCTTGACCAAACTTAGATTTTGAAACCTATTTGGACCGATTCAGATCAATAGATTTTGAGAAATCTTCAAAAAACTGAAAAAAAATTTTTTTTTAAATGTGGTTTTTTTGGAATAACTTTTAAACGGCTTGATGGTTCAATTCCAAAAACTAATCAGCTCTTAACCTCAAAAAACCACGTCGATCGCCATCAGTCCGGTCAAAATCGGTTGATTCGTTCGAGAGATATCGTGAACGAAAGAAAACCAAAAAAAGTGTCTTTTCGGGATTACTCCAAAATTTTTGATTCGATCAATTAAAACCTGAAAATAACTTATGAGGATGATAAAACTGCGTCGAATGCCGCTAACGGTGTGAAAATCGGTTAATCCATTCAAAAGTTATTGCGGTTTGAAAATTCCAAAAATAGTGTTCTATGAAACTTCTATCAGACTTTTGAGCTGGGAGAGCTCAAACGCATAGAAATATTATCTCTTTGAACTCATAAATCATATTATCTCTTGATCACATAAATTATATTTTGAGCTCAAAAATCTCGAAAATGTCATAAGTACAATTTTAAGCGCTCAGGTATGGAATTAGCGGGAAGTTGCAGGGATGGCCTTTAGGGTGAGCGTTTTTCTAATTTTTTTTTATTTCTTTCAAATACAATTTCTGTTTTTAGTAGATTTCATAAAAATCTAACTATTGTATTTGTCCTCATGACATAAATTTCCATAAATTTTGCTATATTTCGTCCTCATAATTTAGTGACCCTATTATTGGCAATTGCTGTTGAGTCTATGTAAAGTAAAATAAATAAATAAACAACTTTAAAAATTCCGTTAAAGAAAAATTTTAAAAAACAAACTACGGATTTATAAAAATTGTTTTAATAAAATAACAAAGAATAATTAAATAAACTCACAGTAACAGCTGAAACGACTTAATGTTATTGTATGAACTCCTTGAAGTTTTATTTACGACTGACTCTTTAAGATTGCCTTAAATGCATTTATATAACCATTCCACAACCTTCTAATCTGATGATTCATATATTCTAAGAACGTAAGCAGACTCACTGATACATCACACAGATTTATAACATAAATCGCATTAAATTGATAAAATATTATTTATTTGTTTACATTCCATTTCAATAGAAATTTATAACGTAAACATATATGGAATTAAGATATTATTTTTTATTTAAGTAAATACTTATTTTCCTCATCAATGTATTCGCAATTTTAATTCAGATGATTCTTAAAAAAATATCGCTTTCTAGAAGATACGTGAAGTTAATTATTCTAAACGAAAACTCAATCTAATATCTTGATCTCTTAAATTTTAGTTATCATTACCAAACTCTAATAATTAGTAATTATACGATATGCCTGCTTGTCACGACGATAGCGTCAACAATTCTTAAGGGATCTTAATGAAACTCAACATACTTATTCTATCGTCTACTAGGAAGATCAAGTTCAAATATGAGCTTAATCGGTCAAATAGTTTAGAAATTTCAGCATTACAAATTTTGAAATTTTGAAAATTTGATACTTTCACTACTTCTCCCTCAAATAACTTTTGAACGCGTCGAGTTATTCTATTCCTGTAAGTTGCATCTAAAAGCTGAAAAATTAAACTTTAATTTATGTGCTTACATTTTTTTCTAAAGCAAAAAAAATCCATCTTAGGATCATTTTTAAGAAATTTTACTCTTGCAATCGTTTTGTCTATACAAAACTGACTGAAAAGTACTGAAGTACAATAATTCTTCTCTTTCTTTATTAAACGTTATTTATTTTTTTTTGTATTTAATCCTAGTAGTTTTTAATTTTATTCATCATGAAATCTACTTCCATTTCGGCTGCCGAATGGCCTTTTTTATTTATTTTATTTGTTTTTTCATTTCAAATTTCGCGCGGTGTTTTAAACTGATCATGCGCACTGAGTGTGCGCCAGCATCAGCTGTCATGCACGTCGGTAGAAAATTTACTGATACGGATATACATGTATATAGGTATACAAACACTCATGTGTATATTTTTTATTATTTTAATTTTTCATTAATAACGATTAAACAACACCAATTAAGATGACTATTTGCAATACCAATCTCCGCAAAGTGGATCTCAAGCTAATAAAAAAAAACTGATCGAATTCGTGAATTTTTACGCAAGTTATCGTGTTCCAAAAGGAAAATGTGCTGATTGACAGGAATTTTCTTTTAACTATTTTGCTATTTTTTTTTTTTGATTCTATTATCTTAAATTAATTTTTACCACTGACAGAATTAATCTCCATTAAATTATCTATCGAATGATACGCAAATTAATTAGATTACGTGGATTACCAATCGTGTAATTAATTAAATAGGGTAGGGCGGGGCTAGTTGATCATAGGGGCAAGTTGTGCAATCGAAATATCTCGAAAACTAAGCAACTTACAACAAAAGTGTAAATGGTGAAAAGAAAGGGTTACGAGAGGAGAACACATCGCGCGAAAGTCAACTGCCGTCCGATGTTTAGACTAACTGACAAAACGTTTTCTTTTTTTTTTGCGTAAAAAAAAAAAAACGGGTTTTTAGAATTTTTCTCCTAACACTCTTTTAAAAATGGTATTTCGTGATCATGAAAGTATTCAAAGATGACTTAATGTTTGCCCTTTCGATTATATATGATTGTTTATTTTTAATTCTTATCATTTTTTTATAACCTAACTTTTATTTTGTTGCCTCAATTGGGGCTAGTTGAGCAAGGTGCTAACTGCATGTTAAACGCCCTACTAGATTTTCAATATTGAAAAATGAAATTTTTCTTTACTAAATTAATAATTATCAATTGATTTGTACATGTAATGATTTAATATGATGTGTAAAAATTAAAATAACTCATATTGATATTATATTAATAAATATATAACATAATTATAATTAATATTGTTATGTTTATAATTATTATTATAATCATAATTATACGTATGTAGAATTATAATAAATCAAATATTTGCTCGTTAATTACACTTTTATTTTGTTTTCATATCATTCTATACAGTCATTTCGTCTATTTTAGCCATTTGCACAACTAGCCTCATACCCATGCTCAACTAGCCTCACTAGTGGGGCACGTTGAGCAATTTGGAGCGCTCGCGTATTTCCGAGAATAACTTGAAAATTTGGACTCGGATCGTTTTTGTGTCGCTAGACCTTTTGAAGAAGACTAAATTACGAACCTAACAGTACATGACTTGATTAAATCCGATACATCATCTTAAAGTTATGGAAGGTCAAATCAAAAAGTGATCAACTAGCCCCGCCCTACCCTAGTTGTGAAACCGAGGCAAAATTCACTAATTATAAAGAGGCACAGGACAGATCATTGATTACTAGGTCCATTTCTCAGTCAGTTTTTACAAATAGTAGAAACTATATAGGAATGATTAACTCTTCTAAAAATTGTACTTTAAAAAAATGTAATATTTAACTTGCTGTTTAATGATTTTCCATTTATTAAAATAATTAGTAGATATATATTGCAACAAAATCATAAAAAAAATTTTATAATTAACATTGCATTTATATAAAATAATACATTTTTAACATAAATAATGTTTAAAATACAATTTGGATCGATTCGGACCGGTAGATTTTGAGAAATCTCAAAAAACTAAAAAAATTTTTTTTTTTAAATGTGGTTTTTTTGGAATAATTTTTAAATGGCTTTATCGATCAACTCCAAAAACTACTCAGCTCTTAACCTTGATAAACCACGTCGATCGCTGCTAATCTGGTCAAAATCGGTTGATTCGTTCGAGAGATATCGTGAACGAATGAAAACCGAAAAGTGTTTTTTCGGAATTACTCTGAAATTCCTAGTTTGATCAATTCAATCTTATTTATTGATTCTTCATGGGGCTTAAAAAACTGCGTCGAGTGCCGCCAACCACGTGAAAATCGGTTCATGCATTCAAAAGTTATTGCTGCTTGAAAACTCAAAAAATAGTGTTTTATCAAATTACTATCAGACTTTTGAGCTCGAAGAGCTCAAAATAACACATAAATGGTATCTTTGAGCTCGAAGAGCCCAAAAACGTCATAAGTGCAATTTTAAGCGCTTAGGTATGGAATTAGCGGAAAGTTGCAGGGATGGCCTTCAGGGTCAACCGTTTTTCTAATTTTTTTTGAGACTGAATATGGCAACTATTTTATTGTCTTAAAATTTAATAATATTTTTATAAAGGTCCTGTACCTCTTCAATAAAAATTAATGTATAATAATAAATACCTTTTTAACAAGTCGAGTTTTAGCTAAATTGTCAGTCAATGGGTGTGTGGTCATATCAAATAATAAAAAATTTTGTTTCTCTGTAGTGAGAACACCCTTTTCAACTAAGTTTTTAGCCAATCGTTCTCTAACATTTTTTAATTGATACCTCAGTTTTAAGGGATTCCATGTTTCTCCTAAAAGCAAAAATTGAATTTAATCAACAATAAATAATACATAACTCAATTATATCTAATAAAATTATTTTCAACAACAAACCGCTCAAGTATTCAATCCAACTTTGAACTGGTTCCGGTGGTTCATATTCTTTCAGATGTTTCAAAGCTTCATCCAATAGTACATCTCCAGTAGGAGCATCATTTTTGACTAATAATTTTCTAGCTAACAAACCACGTTTTCGCATTCCAGCTTTTTCCAATTCGACTCTGCCGCGGAGACCTAATTCTGCTAATATGCAACCTCTCAGTCCAGAACTTATACAGTCATTCCAAAATGAAGTATAACCCTGCGTAAAAAATAACAAAGAATCAATATTAATATCAATTAGTTATTTTATGATCATGCAAACTTTTGTAATTAACAGTCATCAAAATTTTTACTCCTTAGAGATCCTAATCTGATTTCATGGCTGTCGATAGATAACAATAACAAATTATTTTTTAAAAGATTAAAAAAAGCTGGTGTTCTACCTCTTTATCCTTCAATCCAAGCAACAGAACTTCTTCCATTAACGTTAATCTGGTCTCTTTGTCTGAATCTTCATCGACAGTTGGGTTGGAATTAAAATCTTTCAATGAATTACCCTCGACGTCAGGTGCGTGGCCAGATGACTGATCATTGTAAACTCCATTAGGATCAGAATTTCCATCCTGACCTATAGTATTACCACTATTAACTACTCTTCGTCTTTGAACTAAACCGTCAGTACGATTCATCTTATTTTTCTTTTAACGAAACGTTTAATTTTGTTCTGTATCTGTAATCACGTAACAAAACTTCAACTACTTGATTCTAATCTTCACGGCTATAATTTTGATTAACAACATCTACTGCACAATAACAATACTTGTTGATGTCGATAATAACATTAAAGTTCATTTCAAAATGGCTTGTCTATTATACTGTTCTGCTGTCTTTTAAGGTTTTTCATAATAATAATCAGCAATCGCAAATGACACGTTTGAGTAATAAATCTTTATCCACTAGATGTCATTGACGGTCAATGACACTTTCTTTTACAACGGAAGTGATGATAATTTATCATCAAAGTTTTTTTCTCTGGTTTAATTTTAAATTTATTATGGGGTCATCTGAGTGATCCGAACGGAAATGTAGCCAATATAATAATTGTAAAGAAATTCAAAAAGTAACTTGCTCTCTAACAAGTTATATACATATACATTTAATACTTCATACATAACACTTAATGTATGTCAAATAATAGTATATTCTATATAATAAAATACACACATTAAAACATTTAGATATCATATTTATGAAAAAAATTAAACTATAACCCATGAAACATTACAAAAGAACGACAATTGATCTGTCTTCTAAGTCTTCAAAGTGTCATAAGTAAGAAATTAGTTGTCGGTAAGATAAATTTTTTTAGGTAACTGGTGGTGGAGGAAATTTAAATTATATAATCTAAATTCAAAAACAACCTTTTTATTCTAAATAAGAATAATTCATCTTGAAAATATTTATTGTTTTTATTTATTAAAATATACAAATATTGATTACTAAAATAAAACAAAAAATCGCTTATTTAATGAGAAATTATTGATTTTTCTTTATAAAGTACTTTTTTTTTTTTTTAATTCTATAAAATATTAAAAAAAAACTGTTCTTTAACTTGTTTCAGCTTAAACTATTATTTATTTATACACCGTCTCAACATTTATCAATAATTACGTTCTTGTCATATGAATATTATAAAACAAACAATTATTTTTTATATCTATGTAATTAGAATAACATAAGAAGAAAAAATTATTCATTTAAATATAATTCGTTTAAATTTAGATTAAAGTTAAAAAAATATAGGAATATCATATATAATTAGTAAGTTCAAAAATATTAAAAAATTAAAAAAAAAAAAGATTTTTTTGTTCCTTTAATATTGATAAATTTTGAGAAAGTGTATAGATGAATAATAGTTTAAGTTGAAACAAATAAAAAATAGTTTGATTTTAATATTTTATATAATTAACAAAAAATTACTTTATAAAGAATAATAAATAATTTCCCATTAAATAAGCTAAGCGATTTTTTGTTTTATTTTAGTAATCAATATTTGTATATTTTAATAAATAAAAACAATAAATATTTTCAAGAATAATTATTCTTATTTAGAATAAAAAGGTTGTTTGAATTTAGATTATATAATTTAAATTTCCTTCACCGCCAGTTACCTAAAAAAATTTACCTTACTGACAACTAATTTCTTACTTATGACTTAGAAGACTTAGAAGACAGATCAATTGTCGTTCTTTTGTAATGTTTCATGGGTTACAGTTTAATTTTTTTCATAAATATGATATTTAAATGTTTTAATGTGTGTATTTTATTATATAGAATTTACTATTATTTGACATATATTAAGTGTTATGTATGAAGTATTAAATGTATATAACTTGTTAGAGAGCAAGTTACTTTTTGAATTCCTTTACAATTATTACATTGGCTACATTTCCGTTCGGATCACTCAGATGACCCCTTTATTATATATTACTTTTAGTCGAATGTAATGTATAAAAAAAAAGCCTTACAACCCTATAGAGAATTCAGTAATTTTTGGAAACTTTGCTAACAATAGGTATACAAAAATAAAGTTTTTAAGCTATATATATATATATATATATATATTGTTGTGAATCCGAAAGGATTGATCACAACGCTCTCTGTATATTAACATAGAATTACGTATAAAAAGATGGCTGCAATGAATGATAGTGGGAAAAACCCAGTACGATTTAAAATATATGTATTTATTTGTAATAGTATTAGTAAGAGAAATAAGAATCTTTCACATGTCGTAAACCTTTCTATTTTAAATTCTATTGTCAAGTATCGGAATTTTTCTATCATAAATTTTAGGGTATAGACGAATTTATAATTACCGGAAACTCCCAAGGGAAAACATAAAAACTTTTAAGTGCCGTGCAGTTAGGCTAGACATTCTGAGAAAAATTTCCTTGTTAAAATAAACTTACGCTTGTAATTGTAATGGTCACGTAGAATAAAATACACGGAAAAAAAATTGAAGGAATTTTTACTATTTCACTATCGTAATTTTTATTAAATTAAATAGTAACGGTAGACTGTACTTCTCATTTAGTAATTTTTACGATCTACTATTGTAAATTATATCCAACAAGCAAGGCTAGCAAGAATCTTAAAAAATCGAATAATATAGAGCAAATTATACAATATGTGTTTGTAAACTTTACAATTCAACTATTGTAAAAATTCATAGTCGGTTTTTTTAAAAGAAATTTTGGGGAGGGAGAGAGATAGGAGGTTGGACTAATTGGTACCAATACAGTAACCGAAAAAAGAAATCAGAATTTTCGTCCTATCCGGAAATCGAACCCAGAACTCTTTGTTGGCAGCCAGAGACTCTCTCTCTCTCTCTACGCTATCCGAGGTAAACTAATACCAGTGTCCATTAACATTTACATAAACTCGGAGTCTAGCGCTGTGCACGGCTATCGCTCTCACTAATTGACAAACATTCTAATTCAACTATTGTAAAATTTATTATAGTTCTATTGGAAAGATACAGAGACAGCACTGGAAATTTTAATTCTTACTTTTTACAATAGTAATATAGTATTTTTTCATTAATAAATAGTATTTTTTCTTCTAAAATATTTGATAATTAATAGTAATAAAGGTATAGTCCAGCTTTACAATAGTTGTATCGTAAATTTTCCCAGAAATTTTTTCCCGTGTATAAGTTATATATGTGGATGTAAGAAAATTTTTCATTTGATGGTAAGAAAGATTTAAGAAATTGCGCATGCATAATTAAGCATAATTATCTTATTAGGACTATAAAAAATCGAAAAATTTTTTTCGAACGATTTGATATTTTTGGTAAGTTAATAAAAATAGAACCACTTAAATAAGAAATTTTTCTGAAGATATTCATTTATTAATTAAAAAAGTTTATGACATCATAGATAAATTTAAAAAAGGCCATTCGGCAGCCGAAATGAAAGTAGATTTTTCAAATAAAGAAAAATGATTTTTAATAAAATAATATAATAACACTAGAAATGTATAAAACTTAATTCATAAATTAAAAACCAAATTCAATAATAAATTTAAAACGATTTAGAACAGATTTTGGAAAAAAAAATTAACTTGTGAAGAAAAAGTTTATGAAATTTTTACCAAAGAATTGCAAAGATTATAAGATTTGAATTATAAATGACCAAATTTTAAGTAACTGCTTAGGAACAACAGTTTTTAAATTAATCAGAATTTTGAAACCGGATAAAATTTTAATTGAAGAAAACAATGTACAGAACTAATTTGTTACATATTTACTGACGCATTACCCGAAAACATTACATGAAAGACTGATCATTATCCTAATTATTGAATTTACATCATGATTAAGCTATGATGCAGACAGTAATTCTAAAACGGCTGCAACAGTAAAACTGTTTTATTAAACGAACTCTAAAAGGAGTAATATTGAGGCTATTACCACTTCTGAGTAGTGGAAATTGAAGCTTATTAAAAGAGCTTTACGATGCATTTTACCGAATTTTGATATCTTGTCTAGATCAGTAATTATACCAAGTTGAAGTAGTAAAAACATCAATTTTTACGATTTTCAAAATTTCAAAATCCTCTCATTTCCAAATTACTCGACCGATTAAGCTCATCTTCGAACTTAACCTTAGTCTTGATCGATAGATAAAGCATGTTAAGTTTGAAAAGAATCGGTTATGAATTGAAAACGCTATCGTGCTGACAAGCCGCGTTATATCGTATAAATATATATATAGGGGAGGGGGGGGGCAAATGGGGTACTTAAGCAATCGTTATGATTTTAAGGACTTAAATACGCTGATTTTTCTCGTTTTCAGTCATAATTAAAGGAAAATAATCAAATTTCAAGTTGCCGTAGAAAAAAAAAATTTTTTTTTTTGCGGGCAAAATGGGGTACTCCCTGAAAGAGTGAAAAAAAAAATTTCTTCATCCGAAAATGAAATATCGTTAAAAAAAGATCCGAAAAGATATTTCGAAGTTATTTGAAAAAAAATAACATTTTTGAAATTTTTCGTTTAAGATTTCTTTTCAACACATCAACCGAATCAAATGCGGCTTGCAACAATCGGCGTTGTTTCTTAGGTAAGAGTTGATAAAATTTTAGAATTAATCGTTACATCTGTTTGAAAGTTATTCCAGAAAAAAACATTTTATTTTTAGTAGATTTCATAAAAATCTAACTATTGCAGCCGTCCTCACGGCGCAATTTTTAAAAAATTTAGCCATTTTCTGACTCAGTTTGTCAAGCTGTCTCAGAAAATATATTTGGTTCAAAAGTTTATATTTATGTATGTATTTATAAATACGATATAACGCGGCTTGTCACGACAATAGCGTCAACAATTCTTAAGGGATTCTAATGAAACTCATCATACTTATTCTATAGGCTATTACGCAGGTCATGTTCAAATATGAGCTTAATCGGTTGATTAGTTTAGAAATTACAGCATTTGAAAATTTTATTCACCACTTCTTTTTCAAATAACTTTTGAATGCGTCGAGATATTCGATTTCTGCAAAGTGCATCTGAAAGCTGAGAAATTAAGCTTCAATTTACATATTTACATGTTTTTCTAAAGCAAAAAATATCCATCTTAGGATCATTTGTAAGAAATTTTACTTTTGCAGTCGTTTTGTCCGTACATCATACGTTAAAATCTAATTATAATTTTGATTAGTAAGTAATAAAATGAAATCTACTTCCATTTCGGATGCCGAATGGCCTTTTTAGCTTTCCGCTATTAAGAAAATTAAAAATTTTCGAAAATCGGGAAGTTATTGTTTTTACCCCGTTTTTCGAAAATCGAGTTTTCATCAGGTCCCGACGTTTTAAGGTCCTGGGAAGCTTCCCAGACTATTCCCGTGATAGTGTGTGATAGCGTGTGATTTTGAGAAATCTCAAAAAAACTACGAAGAGAAAATTTTTTAAATGTGGTTTTTTTGTAATAACTTTTAAATGGCTCTACCGATCGATTCCAAAAACTATTCAGCTCTTAACATCAAAAAACTACGTCGATCGCCACCAAGCCGGTCAAAATCGGTTGATTCTTTCGTGAGTTATCGTTTATGAAAGAAAACCGAAAAAAGGGTTTTTTCGGAATTACTTTGATATTCCGAGTTCGATCAATTTGAACTTAAAAATTCTTTATGAGGCTCAAAAAACTTCGTCGAATGCAGCTAACCACGTGAAAATCGGTTCATTCATTCAAAAGTTATTGTGGTTTGAAAATTCAAAAAATCGTGTTTTATTAAACTACTACCAAACTTTTAAGCTCGGAGAGCTCAAAATGATATAAAAATTATATTTTTGAGCTCGAAGGGTTCTTTAACGATTAATGTTGAAATCTAAAAGATTGACTAGGCGCGTCTGCCGGTAAGCCGCATCCAAACTTCCTTTAAGTAAGGTGCAAATTAAAGCAAAGGATACAGATCACGGGCCAAGTTAAATTAAACGCGGAAGTCAAATTAATTTAAAGGCGATCAACTGCGTGAACCACGTTTTTTAAAACCTCCCGCTGCATTGGTTGCAAAATTCCCGCAAGTCAGCCGGAAGGTACGTTCGTCTTAACTTTAACGTGGTTATCGCGCATAGAGGGATCTTCCATCTGGCGCGGGAAAATAAAAATTTGAATGTGGGAGGACGTATATATCTATATATATATATATATATACATAAACTTTTGAACCATATGTATTTTCTGAATCAGCTTAACGAACTGAGCCGGAAAATATAAAAATTTTTTAAAAGTTTCTTCATGAGGACCAATGCAATAGTTAGATTTCTATGAAATCTACTAAAAATCAATAGAAGATTAAAACCAACATAATGCCTTTAAACTAAGAGACCCAGTTTATTACTTTCTCATCTTCATTAATCCTAATTTATATTAATTATATATCTTATTATTTTTTACGTTATTTATCATTATTATAAACATCATCGTAGAAATTGACAGATTAGCTTTTTACAAACTCGAAATCTTAAGATTTCATTGAACTCAACTTTTTTCGAACTTTTTTTAGATTTTCAATTTTATCACCGGGAAGTTGAAAACAAGATTTAAAGTTGTGAAATATTAAATGATACATCCAATATTTTACGGGTATATTGTAAGTTGTTTTAAATCTTATTTCCAAAATGAAGGATAAAAATTATATAAATGAGTACAGTAGGTAAATTAAATTTTTTTTTACTTTATTTAAGAAGAATGATCACCAGTGATTTCAAAATCTGTATAGATATTTTTTTATACTTTTACAATGCGCAAAAGGATCACTACATTCACAATCAGTTAGACAATTTTTTTTAGGTAACAGAGTTGACAATTTAACATCACAAACAATATTCAACACATAATCATACAGCAAAACTAATTCTATAACATTAAACTTTACAGTAAAAAATATATAGTTCAATGCTTTACAGGTAACCGTAAACTCATATCTGAGATATTAAACTTTAGGTCATAAGATAATTATTTTATAATTCATTAGAAAATTGTTTTTCATTAATTTGTTCTTACATAGCTGACACATAAAATTTAGTTTCAATATATTTATACTTTTATAGAAGCTTATCAGATCAAAGTTTTAAAAATTCTCGAGAAGTTCAATGAAAATTTTTTTTTTTCAATTTCAACAATATATTCTTGGCAATCAACATTACAATTTTCAATTTTTAACGCACCATATATATTTATGATTGACCTTTTATCGTCAATTTTTTCTAACGAATTGACATTATCTGTCATGCACCTACATTTAATATTGAAACAAAAAACAATAGTATCATATACATTTTTTAAAAATCTTATTTCGCCTTTCACAGTTATTACTCAAAATTTCAGGCCATAATAATTCCTTATATTGAAAACTACTCAATTAACACTCAATATAAGTTTCACAATTAACTTCTTTCAAATTATTTTTTTATAAATTTTAATATTATTTTTACAGTATACTGTCAACATTCTCTGCACATGCTATATTCAAGCAAAACTGAAGTCTCAAACAAACAGAATTAAACATGTTCAAAAAAAAAGTAACTCATAAGAAATATTAAGTTTTTAGATGAATCTAACAGATATGTTTCTTATTGCATTCTTTTGACATTTAATTATACACGAAAAATTAAAAAAAATTAAATAAACTGTTACGCAAAGTATAAAAAATCAATTACTGAAAAATTTCAATTTTTTAATTCTAGCTTATAAAAATTCACAATATCCATACAAAATTTGTCCACATAATTTTATTACATTAATCAAAATTCATATCTTGTGACTTAAAAAACACAATTACATTAGTATTACTGGTTGGATTGTCAATTTAATGTTTATTATCATTAAATTGACTGTATTTATAGTCATTGTTAAATCGTCGGACTGTCTATTCTTTTACTTTTTACGAAATTCCTACTGTATAAGAAACTCTAAAAAATCACTGTTTCTTAATCTAGCTTGAAAACTAAATAATTCAGTTAATCTTTTAAATAATGTCATATCAATGGAAAAAAAATTTTTACAACGATAAACATTTATTTGATTGCACTTTATAACCAGTCGAGCCAACTTTAACAGTAAACAATCAGCTAACTCAGAAAAATTTGTAATTTAATAAATTCATAAATGCTATCACTATCAAAAAAAAATAAACATTTGAAACATTAATATACAATCTTGGACAAAACAATTTAGATAAATTACTTTTGAAAAATTATATCAATTCAGGATAGCGACTGCAATTTTATTTAAAAACCTCTGTTTTAATTCTGGCTCTAGAAAACTTTTCCTATTATTATTAGACTCATAAATATCGTCAAAAATGAAAATACTGATAAATAATTATTTATTTATTAATTATTTAATTATTTATTATTTAAGATTAATCTTTGAAAAAAATAATGAATAATTAGTCTCAAGAAAGCAAATCAATTGAAAATCATTCTTTTTTTTAATTACAACATACTAAATTAAAAATAATAATTGTCACATTACCAGAAACATTGATATGTCTTAAATTTTTTTTCTTATTTTTTTAAAATTTTTATTTTTTTGAGTTTTTATCGAATCAGTTATTTGGAAAAAATCTACCCTATCTTTGATTATTTTTTTTTACCGTACAATTAAAATAAATATCATGAAAATAGTAAAAAATAAATTTTTCAATTAGTTTTAAAGCTTTTGATGTGAAAAAAATAAAAAGCTTATCGAAAATTTCTAATAAAATGGATCCAAACAAAAGTCTAGCAATTTCTAATATTTTCTCTGTATTCTAAATGTGGAAAAAAAAATAATTTCAAAGAAAAATTTAATGTGACAATTAAGAAACCCAATAACCCAGTATGACCGAACGCTTTAGTGGAAGAAAATTAAAACTAAAAATAATATTATTAAAACTAAGAGCAAATTTAATTTCATCATTATATCTGTGATAATAATTTCCTTTTCCAATTTTAAAAAATTACTTAATTCAAAGGTCGCTGTCCTGATCAATAATGAAAATGAAAAATAAACCTAAAAAAAACACGCGCTATCTAAAAATAATAATTAAAAATTTTGCTTTTGCTTTTTTCAGTCATTGTTAGTATATGTTATAATTGCAACTAAAACATGACATATCATCATTTCAATTCAGTCTTGAATCAGTCTTACTGTATAAATACGAGCAATCAATTAATAAAAAAAAAAACTAATTCAATTTACGCGTGCTGATAAATAATAATATATCAGATTCGTTTCACAACAGAAATACACAAATTTCTCGATACTTTCTGTCATGTCAAATATTTTTATTTTTTGTTCCCAAATTATTTGTTTGATTTGCTTATATCTTTCATGTTTCTATTGTTTTTTTTCTTGATTTATTTTGAGCTCATACCTATATTTTTATTCGAATACACCAGGCATCCGAAGTTAAATTTAAAATTTAAAACAACATTGAGTTGGTATATTATACAAAATAAAAAAGTTTTAATTAATAAAATAAATTTGCTTTTAGCTACTAAAGTAATTCTAATATTTTGAAAAATTTTTTAATGTAAATAAAAATGCCTTTTATAAAACTATTACGGGATTAAAATTCTTTTCACATGTCATTTTATTCTTTTTTAAAAGAATTGCTTATCGCTTAATTCAAATTTCTTGGAAACAATACAAAATCTTATCAAGCAGGTTAATATTACATACATATGTTATGTAACAAAAAGAAAATAAGTCAAGATGAAAAAATATATTTCTCATAAATATTTAAAAATAATGAGCAATTTTTTGCGTTTCACGCTATGATGTTTGATTAATAAGAAAATATGCTCACTGTTATTATCAAAATTAATTATTTTTCCTTACATAAATTTGGCTAATGAAGTAAGATCAATAAGAAAAGTGTTTTTCAATTATTCTTTTACTTTTACTTTCTAAACTTTTCTTTTACTTCCTCTTTAGGAATTAAAATTTATTAAATTGCTTTTTAGTATACCAAGATTCGGTTGTTACCGAAATCAACAACTATAATTCGGCCTTCGGGAGATAACGCAATACCAGCAGGGCGATCCATCTGACCTACACCTTTTCCCACACTTCCAAATTTACATTTAAGATTACCTTCTGAATCTAACACCTGTATTCTATTATTACGCGAATCGGCAATAACTATGTTTCCAACATCATCAACCTTCATACCTTGTATTCTTAAAAACGGATGCGCTCTCTTTTCGGGACCAAATATTTTAGCTTTTTGAAGTTGATAATCAATAATAACTATATGGTGGTTATTAAAATCTGATACAAGAATATCGCCATTAGGAGTAAAACTAACGCTTCTTGGCGAATCCAGCAACTTCCACATGAGCTGCATTGTTTCAAAACCGTATTTACGGAGAAACTCACCCTCTTCATTGAATAATTGAATACGATGGTTCCGTGTATCGGATACAACTATATCACAACGTGTATTAACTGCTACATCCCATGGATAATTAAATTGACCATTCCTCATTCCTTTTTCACCGAACGCTAATAAATAATCACCGTATTTTGATACAATCTGAAAGAAAGAGAAATTAAAAAATATTAAAATTACAACCATTAGAGAACATAAAAACGTTTAGAAAAAATCCAAAAGTGCGCTACTTGTAATGCGCATTTAATGTGCTATTATTCTTATGAATAATAAACTTGTTACTTACTTGAATCCGATGATTGTCCTTGTCTGCTACAATAATACGGTTGCGTTCATCAACAACAATCCCTGCGGGCCTGTCAAATTGCCCGGGACCACTTCCACGGGTTCCAAATTTCCTCATAAAGTTGCCATTTTGATCGTATACTTTAATTTGGTTATTCGATCTGTCAGCAACAATAATATGTCCTTCTTTATCACAAGCAACGCCCCAAGGACGACATAAATTATTGTTTTTTTCGCCTGCATCACCAATAATTAAGACTGGCTTAGGCGACGGTGAATCTTTCCCAATTTTTACAACCACTGGAACATTCGTAGACGCTACATTTCTTTCAGGTGACAGAGACCCGGTATAATATTGAAGCGCAACTTTATACGAATTTTGTTGTGGTAACTGAAATTGATGATCTTGGTACCTTTGCAGTTGAGGTTGTTGTTGTTGCTGTTGCTGTTGTTGTTGTTGTTGTTGTTGTTGTTGTTTCAGCTGTTGTTGTTGCTGCTGCTGCTGTTGTTGTTGCTGTTGTTGTTGTTGTTGCTGCTGCTGTTGTTGTTGTTGTTGTTGCTGCTGCTGTTGTTGTTGCTGTTGTTGTTGTTGTTGTTGTTGTTGTTGTTGTTGTTGTTGTTGTTGTTGTTGTTGTTGTTGTTGCTGTTGTTGTTGTTGTTGTTGTTGTTGTTGTTGTTGTTGTTGTTGCTGTTGTTGTTGTTGTTGTTGTTGTTGTTGTTGTTGTTGTTGTTGTTGTTGTTGTTGTTGTTGTTGTTGTTGTTGTTGTTGTTGTTGTTGTTGTTGTTGTTGTTGTTGTTGTTGTTGTTGTTGTTGTTGTTGTTGTTGTTGTTGTTGTTGTTGTTGTTGTTGTTGTTGTTGTTGTTGTTGTTGTTGTTGTTGTTGTTGTTGTTGTTGTTGTTGTTGTTGTTGTTGTTGTTGTTGTTGTTGTTGTTGTTGTTGTTGTTGTTGTTGTTGTTGTTGTTGTTGTTGTTGTTGTTGTTGTTGTTGTTGTTGTTGTTGTTGTTGTTGTTGTTGTTGTTGTTGTTGTTGTTGTTGTTGTTGTTGTTGTTGTTGTTGTTGTTGTTGTTGTTGTTGTTGTTGTTGTTGTTGTTGTTGTTGTTGTTGTTGTTGCTGTTGTTGTTGTTGCTGTTGTTGTTGTTGTTGTTGTTGTTGTTGTTGTTGTTGTTGTTGTTGTTGTTGTTGTTGTTGTTGTTGTTTTTGTTGTTGTTGTTGTTTTTGTTGTTGCTGCTGCTGCTGCTGATGATGATGATGATGGTAGCGTTGATGTTGATGTTGTTGTCGTTGTTGCTGATGGTGGTGTTGTCTATATTGTTGTTGATATGGTTGAATTAAAAGAGGTGAATTACCACGACCTTTCAGAGCCCTACCATCACCAATTGATCCCATAGGGCTTGTTTTGACTGTTCCATATTGAGTAATCGCATCAAGAAGGCTATCAATCGATCCAGAAAATGATAACCAATGATCTTTTAATTGTGCATAGATTAAACCTTCGGATTCGATTTTTGATATCTGTTAGAGATAAAAAAAATACGAATTGGTTGTGAATCAATCGCTATAAATAAAATTATCTAGTTCAAAGTAAAATTTAAAAATGACGTATTTGAGGGGATATGCGTTTAAGGTAGCTCTTAATAATTTTTATCTATTTTTTTCTAAAAAGTGCATTATAAATAACAAAAATGAGAAAAAAAAATATTTTGATCAATCGATTTTTAAAAAGATTTTGAATATTGAAAAATAATAAAGCTGTTTTTTTAGGCGTAACTTTTATTTTGTTGACTAAAAAAATTTAAAGAAATCCTTTCGCTCCAGTTGAGTCAAAACAATTGTAGTAGTCAATATACGATAAATTAAAATAAAAAACCCATAAAAATTCCTAAAATTAAATAATAAATAGTATATGAGGCATTAATCGTTGAAATTTTAAAAATAAAAAAAAAAATAGTTAAATACAAAAATTAATTTGACTCTTTCAAATCAGCTGCTAGTAACCTGTCCGTGATTTGGCAACGCTGTACTTCGGTTGTTTACATTTTCATTTGCACAATATAAACTTAAACACGTTTAAGTTTTTGCAGTCAGTGTAAATAAATAAATTAGTTTGAATTTATTGAATGGTCTGAAGCTCGCGCGCTACGCAACGTTGCCAAATGTTTTGACTCCATTTTAACGTAGGTTACTTGAGAATTTTTTGTGATTTTTAAATATTAATTTCTTAATAAATATCTCGGTAACTGATATATTTTATTGCAAAAAAAGAAACCTGAATATTTCGAAAATCTAATTTTTAGTTTTTTTTTACTTCATCTAATCCATGACTGATAGTATAATTCGAGAAATACTGCAAACGTCTGACTTTCTCGTAAGACTCTGAACAAATACTAACATTTAAAAATTTTATTTTTTCAAAAATTTGTCCGGTAAAGTATAATTTAAACCTCACTATTAGATAAATAAGGACTTCAACTATTAGAAAAAAATTTAATTTACTCATAATCTAATATTTTTTATTTTACATTGGCGGCGAAAGGACCTCCTTAAAGATTTCCTGTGAAATGTTTTTAATGAAGTAGTTTTTATGCAGTCTTTATAGAACAAAAATACTATTTATCGCCAACTAAACAATCGGACGTGAAATTTCAAAGATGTGTTAAAAAAATACTTTTTAAAATTTTTTTAAATTAAATATCTCTCGAACCAGTCAACCGATTTTGACGTTATTGGCGGCGATTGAAGTGATTTTTTAAGCTCTAAAAATCATCTCGTTGAATCAAAAACGATCCAGGGATAAATGTCGGAGTTATGTAAGAAAAAAACACTTTTTTCCAAATATTTTGTTCAGGATACCTCACAAACGAATCGACCGATTTTGGTCGCGTTGACGGCGATCGACGCAGTTTTTTGGGCTTAAGGGCTGATTAGTTTTTAAAAACGATTGATTCAGCCGATTATTAAAATTTATTTGAAAAAAAAACATTTCCTGAAAATTTTATTTTCGAAATTACTTAAAATCAATTGGCCCGAATCACCTTAAATAGTTTAAAATA